AGGGCACATATTAGAAGCAGGAAGTTAAAAAAGCTGGATCACACTTTTCCAATTGTGGTTACGAGTTATGAAATTGCGATGAATGATCGCAAGTACCTTCAGGTAGTTTTGAAATTTCTAAAAAAAAGTATTAGGACAGTCGTATTAAATATAATATTTATTTAGAAATTCGCCTGGAAGTATATTGTTGTCGATGAAGGACACAGAATTAAGAATTTAAATTGTAAACTTATCCGAGAACTTAAGACTTATCAATCCGCGAATCGTTTACTTCTAACGGGAACTCCACTACAAGTATTTACTTTTTAAGTTCGTTCGCAAGCGCTTCTCACAAATGAACGGTTGCGGTTTATTTTATATAATACATTATGTTAACTTTTTATTAATAATCAGAACAATCTCGCAGAGTTATGGAGCCTTTTAAATTTTCTTCTACCCGATATATTTGATGATTTAGATAGTTTTCAAGACTGGTAAGTCGGCAATTGTTTTTTTTCAACTCATTAGACAAGGCTTGTAATTTATTGTATTTATTACAACTATGTACAGGTTTGACTTTTCTGCTCTTCATGAGCAAGATGGGGAAACTCAGATTTTAGCAAAAGAACAGTCAAACGAAGTCGTAAGTAATTTGCATAAAATCCTAAAACCCTTCTTGTTACGACGTATAAAAAGTGATGGTAAGTATCGAAATTTTTTGAAATTTTCCGTGTTTAAAATTTGATTAAATTAGTATTTATTTTCTAGTTGAGTATGATCTACCCAAAAAGAAAGAATATCTGTTGTATGCTCCATTGACATTGCAACAGAAAGAATTATACGATGCTATTTTGAGCAGAAACATTCGTTCTTTTCTGCTAGCAAGAAAAATGGGAACAATAAATGATCATGAATCTACCGATATGGAAATTGATGGTAAAAAGATGGTGATATTTCAATTTTGTCAAATTATGAATTATATTGTTAACATGATATCATATTATTCAGAAATAGAACAAAATAAGTCTAATTCTGAAGAGGAAGTAAATGATTGTACAAATGAAGAACAGACTGAAGACCGTAAACAGTCATTACGTGCTTTACCACGAAAGACATACAGAGAGGTCACAGACTTTGAATTCTTTAATGCTTTGGAGGTGGAAGAATCAGAACCTGAGGTGGATGAAGAAGAAGCATTGAAAAATTCCATTAAAACTGAGTTGGACATTAAAACTAGAAAAGCTGGTGATTAATGCATTAATATCTAACCTTAGTTATAGAATTATTACTTATTATATTTATTATCTATAATTTATATAAATAATAGTAAAATCGATTAATTCAATGCGACTTCAGAATGTGGTTATGCAATTACGTAAAATTTGTAATCATCCATACCTTTTCGATTGGCCTGTTGATAAAGAAACCGATTTGCCGAAAGTCACCGAGGAATTGGCAGCAGCGTCTGGAAAGATGATTTTGTTAGAATACTTGCTTGATGCCTTATTTGAACGTGGCCATAAAGTGCTTATTTTTTCACAATTCACTACCATGCTTGATATAATTGATGATTGGGCTACTATATTCAAGGGTTGGAAAGTATGTAGAATCGACGGTAAAATAGGCCAAGAAGAAAGACGACAACAGGTATTTCATACTTTAGTTTTTAAGTTCTTTTTAAGAATTTGAGCATTTATTTATATTTGTGTTCGTTTCATCCATCATAGATTCATGACTTTAACACAAATCCAGAGATACGGCTTTTTATTTTGTCTACTCGTGCTGGTGGATTGGGTACGTTGTTAATAGTTGCAGAAAGTAAATCGTGAGTAGGAAGGTTAAAAATGTAATTGAAATTTTCTCATGAACTTTATTAAACACCCGTTAGGTATTAATTTGACGGCAGCAGATACTGTTATAATTTATGATAGTGATTGGGTACATATATATATATATTTATGCATGCTATTGTTATTTCATTTTTATCTGTTCATTTCAATTTCATTTTGATTTTAGAATCCGCAAATGGATCTACAAGCGCAAGATCGAGTTCACCGTATTGGTCAAACGAAACCTGTTATAATTTATCGACTGGTCACTGCAAATACGGTCGAAGGTAAGATCTTGGAGAAGGCGACTGCCAAACGAAAGTTAGAAAAATTGGTCATTCACAAGGGCAAGTTCAAGTTGCCAACATCACGTGACCTACCAATAGCAAACTTGGCGGAATTAGCTGAAATATTAATGGCTGATGATAGTGAAAAGTTTCAATTGGCACAACATGGAGACGCTGTAATCCCAGAATCTGATTTAGTGCGGTTAATGGATCGGAGTGATGCAGCTTTCGAAAAAGTTGGTACTGCGGAGGCGCAAGAAGAAAAGGGTGTTATGTTCAAAGTAATCTCTGAAGTTAGAGACACAAACAATGATGCACTCGCACAAATCAGTAAAAGCGATGATTGAAAATTTATAAGCCTAGCCGAGTCGATAATTTTGATACGGCTAAGCCGGCTTAGTCGGTTATTATCTCAAACATTAAATCTCAATAATAATAAACTATAATCCGGAAACTCCCGCTGGTCACGCTCGTATTTTATGTTTGTTTTATTTTACCAAATAAAAAAAAGATAGAACGTCGTTCGTTGTATAATGTTTCCGAAAAAAAAAAAAATTAATAATAATAATAACAATAAATGTTGTTGCGTAACATTTCCCAAGTTGTTATATGTAACATTTTTCAAATGAACTTATTTCTGTATTAAGAATTATGTAGATTATTTGTCGTGTAACGGTTATTGATTATCGTTACGTATTACGTACAGTTGTAACTTGTTAATTATGTATGAAATACAGTCGATACTGTCTAATTGCATGCCATCCATTTTATGCATATGGACAGCATATGCACTTAAGTCATAAGAACCATTTGGTGTTAATAATTAAAAGCCAAAATTTTTTATGCAATTAGACAGTATTGACTGTAATACTGTATATATGTATTACTTTTTTTTATTTTGATTGTAGAAGACTATAGATGTTGAGATATCTTCGATCAAAGTTTCAAACCAATTTTTGGCGCAGTTTCTATTTGGTAGATATTTAAAATTTTACAAAAACATTAATCGAAAATATCTTTATACCTGCCTAACTATATTTGTTGAATTTTTTTTTTTATTTTGGTTGTAGAAGACTATAGAGTTTAAATAAAAAAAAGTTCATCAAATTTGATTAGATAGTTGTTAAAATACAGTACCTTTAATTAAAGTTTCAAAATAATTTTTATTACAGTTTCTATTTAATAGATGTTTAAAATTTTATAAAAACATTAATTAAAGATATAAGATATCTTGACATCTATCTATCTAACCAAATTCAATGAATTTTTTTTGATTAGGTGGGTATTAAGATATCTTTAATCAAAGTTTCAACCCAATTTTTGGCATAGTTTTTATCTATAAATATTTAAAATTTTACAAAAACTTTTATTAAAGATATCTTGACACTTACCTAACCAAATTCATTATAAAAACTTATAAAATTTAAACAAAAAAAAATTATTAAATTTGGTTAAGTGGGTGTTAAGATATCTTTAATCAAAGTTTTAAAAAATTATAAATAATTAAAATGATTTATAGTACCTGATAAAAGTTTTTTTGCATTTATATTTCCTTATAGAGAGGTGCTATAACCTTGAAACTATCAAAAAATTTAGTATATAAATAGATTAGATCATATATTTTTTTGAAAATTTTTTAATTACTAAAAAAATGTTTAGATAAAAGTCAAATTTAAGATTTTTTTTTTAAAAAAAAAAAAAATTAATTGCATTCAAAAAAAAATTAGCATATTGTTAAAGCTTAAGTTAAAAATTTTAAAAATTAATATATTAATATTCAATAATTTCTGTAGTAGTAATAAAAAATTTGGCTTAATTTGATAAAATAATTGTTGAAAAAATTAATCTTTAAATTGAGTTTAATTTTTAAAAATTATAAAATAAAAGCTTTTCAATCAAAAAAATCCTAATATCTAGTGATTCAAATTTAATAATTTGATATTATTTAAATCATCTCAATGAGACAATTCAAATAATATCAAAATTATCAAATTTGAACTGTTAGATCACAAGATATTTATAAAAAACTTTTTAACACAAAAAAAATTAAGGATCGGCAAATCAAATGTGTTGAAAATAAAACTCAAAACTTTAAAAATTAATTTTTTAATAACTAACTCATCAAACTAAATCAAAATTTTGTTATTATTATAAAAATTATTGAATTTAATATACTAATTTTTTAGAATTTTTAGCTTTGAGTCTTAATGATATATTAATTTTTTTTTGAATTCAATTAATTTTTTAACTTTTTTAAATGAAAATTATTTTAATTTTAGCTTTTATCTAAACTTTTTTAGTAATTAAAAAATCTTCAAAACAAATATACAATCTAATTTATATATATTAACTTTTTAAAAAGTTTCAAGGTTATAACATTTTTTATAAATAAATATAAATATATGAAAACTTTTGTCAAGTATTATATATTAATAAAAATGTAGTATGATTAAAAAAAGAATATAAAAATATCAATTCTTTATATATTTTTAATAAAATTTTAAACAATTATAAAAAATATAAAAAAATAAATTCTAGTAGGTATTGTAATATAGCAATACAGAGTCTTAGTAAAGCTATACTATTTGACTTAACATGTAAGAGGGTTAAGAAATGTGTTTGCAAATAAGAAAAGAATAAAATAAGAAAGAAAGCTAAAAGA